ACTGCACATTGCGAGAAAAACATGCGATCCCACCCTCTGCTTTTTCCTATAACGCTAATGCAGAGGAGTAGAAGACTTTTGCTACAGGGAAGAATTGGTGGGTGGGTAGGAAAGGTGTTTAACCATTTCTTGCACATTACCCAAATTTCTATTTCCCTCTACTAGCCAGACTCTGAAACCAAAAGTATTTCTGGGGATCAACAAGGGAATTTCCTCCCAATGCAAATAGCAGCTGCGGAGAAAGGATTTTCCCCAGAATCACACCAGGGGAGGAAAGTTACTGTACTTCCGTCACCTGCACCTGCTGCGACTCACATAATTATCAGCCCCCATCGCATGATGATATTTGCATTTTGCTAAAAGGCATCCCTCAGCCTCCCTTGCAAATGTCACCCTGCCCCTCATTTTCATTACCTCCAGTTTGCCTAATTCAGTGCAGTATCCCATGTTCTTGTCATGTTCTTCGATTTGGTTTATCTATATCCATTACCCAGGGATGCTGCCTGAATCATGAGTGGCTTTATACTGTGCTAAAAAAGATGAATTGCTTTGTACTAGCCAATCGTATTCAGTTGGAAATGGACTTTTTAATACTAATAAATGAGTTTCAATAACACTGAAATAAATCCATATTGTGTGTGTGTGTGTGTGTGTGTGTGAGTGAGTGATTTGTGACCTTTTTTGTTTGCTTGTTTGAAGTCAGTGAGCACTCACCATTCTTCAGATATCCAGACAAGAGATCTGGATTAGATGGAATATGCAGTAGGGTTTTTCTACCTTCCTACATAAGATCACTCCTTATTTTTCTTGACAGTAGCTTGCATGGAACACATTTTTTTCAGCACTAAATGGTTGGTGTTCAATAAAACGCTGTGAGAAGATTGGCTCTTCTGAGCAAAAGTGAGAAAGTGATAGAGAGATTCTGAACACAATGGCGATGACTTCAATGGAACGCTGGACTTCTGCTTGTGTTTTCCTCTGTTTTCATCAAAACGGAATGTAGTTTGGGATTACTGTGGCCAATTTCTATGCAATTGCTTGCCAGGGACAACAGTCATTGTCAAGGGGTACCAAGGATGGGGGAGAAATTAGACTCGATTCACACCTAAAGAATCTATCTAATTCACACCTTCCAAAACCAAACGGAATCAGAGCATCTCTTTGATATTTGCACTTCTCTCAATTTTGCAATGCAGTTATCCAGCCACGTAATGTACACAAATGCATATAACTAGAGTAAAATGTACATAAAATTGCATATATCATGAAGATAACATACAAAAATGTGTTGGGGGAAACTACATGCAAACATGCATACACCAGGAGAAATTAACACCCAAGTTATGATGAATATTCATGAGGACTTTTTAAAAAAAATGCAAATGGATATCAACATGTAGAGAACCGAAGACTGGGAAAACGAGAGAAACTAAAATGGAAAGGTTTGCCCATCCCTAGGTGTTCCATGAGTTGCTTAAGCAAAGTCTGTCTACAGATTTCTGGATTGCTGGTTTGATTCTTTTTCAGTACATAAAGAAAAAAGAAAAAGAAAAAGAAATTTGGCCAGTTGCAACAACGTTTTCAGTCTTTGTATTGGGAAAATATTTTTAATTGGTCCAAAATTTCCCACCCATTAGCCTAATGAAGTATGTAACACATGCTGCTGTTCAATTTATTTGCAGAGTATGAGAACTGCAGGACAATTTCCTAACACCATGATAATTGTGTTTTTCACAGGCCTCAAAGTGGGTCTCATATCATCAGTTCAGTATAAAGGGTTCTGGGCCGTTGTGAAACCAGCAAATATCAAAATAGAAGAAATAATTATGCAAAACAACATCCATTATGGAGATGGACGGTTGAGTTTGTTCAGGGCGGCGAACGCACCATTCTGATGATTTAAGTATATTCAAGTACATCCTCTGGGAAAATGGGGTGCAAAGTATCTGCTGTTCTGTAGGAAAAGCAATAAGCCCTGGGTCACTGTGTCATGTACATCTTGCTTTAACAAATCTTCCTGAATTCTGTCCCTGTGTATTAACCGCAAAGAACAGCGAGGGGACAAAATGAAACACAATTAATTATTTCAAAGGAAAGAACCAAATGAACAACTAAGCACAGAATGCTGATGGGCAACGCAATAATCTTTTTGGCACTTTGAAATAATAGTCATTTGGAGTCCTTGGAAGGAAGGAGCGATCCAGAGATGAAAAGTCAACTACACCTTAGTGTATCCTATGAATATAAGAAATGAGAATGAACCTATACTTTATAAGGTGATTTGCAAAAGCAATTTTAAACACCATTAAAGCCCAAAGTCTATTACGTCCAGCCGTTCCTTATGCTGAGTAACCAAAAGAACATCATTTGTTGAGTAATTAAATAGGCATTCCTTCTTTTCCAAACATCTATATAGTGCTGGCAAGAAAACATCTTTATTTTAATGGTTACCCTGCTTGAATTTTAATACTATGGGAAGTCACTAATAGTTGAGATTAGAAAGACTGCTAGCCTCAGCCTGCTGAAGACACAATCTTTGGACTCAGCTTTTTTGGGTACAGTATTCCTTTTCTTGCTCTTTACCCCAAAAATACAAAAGAGTAATGCTTCCCTCCTTTTCCACTGGTCTAGAGGATGCCAAGGCTTCGCCTCAGCTGTTGTTTACATAACAAAAAGTGTGCACATTAATTGCACACATCCAATTAATGTCAGATCACGTTTCATCCTCAAATTCTGAAGAACAGGAAGGAATTTCCAGACTGGTCGACAGACCTGATAACAACATCTGTGCTCCAGTCAGGATTGACCATTCCCAGGAGATACCTATGCCTCTTCTTCCTATAAGAAATGGCTGATGCATACTAAGACTTGTAGGACCCTAGCCAAGGGCTGGCAAAGGGCTGGCAACAGATCCTTCTCCTTCTATCATCCAGTCCCTACAACAGCAGCAATGCATGGGTTGAACAGCACAGAGTAGAGTGTAAAGGTGAGATCAGCTGCTGTGGGATCTAGTCTTAGAGATTCTGTCATGGTTTCTTTAGCTGGGTCCTTTCCAAGGCCTTGATGTCAATGCAGATTTGAGTGAAAAGAGAAAAGTCTTGATAACACTTTAGGAAGAAAGCTGAACAAAACAGTGTGTATTTTGAGGAGAAAACAGTGTGTATTTTGAGGAGAATAGAGATGTGCTGGTCCCATGGGTTACCCGAGAGGTGAGGTCCAAGTCCGGTCCGTGGTCAAAGGTGCAACATGGAGGCAGTCCGTAGTGGCTGAAGCTGGGTGCAGGGCAGGGAGTTGGGTGAAGTCAGGAACAGGCATGCAAGCAGGGAGCCAGGGCGGGTCAGGAGCTCTGGCAGAAAAGCAGGATAGGGTTCAGGCAGGAACTAGCAATCAACAATGTTGCTCCCACAACTAGGGACTGGAGCTGGATAGCTTTTATCTGCCCTGAGGCATAGGGTGGCCCCAATCCTCTGGTGACTCGACTCGCCTCTCCTGGCCTGGAGACGAGCACTCCTCCTGTGGGAACTTAGTTCCCTCTGCCGCTCTGCCCTGAGCCCCTGAAGCTCAGGAGAGGCTGGAGGGTTACCGGACCCAGAGGCAACCTCAGATTCCTCTGCCGGGGCTGAGAGTGGAGCACCTGCAGGCAATGGGCCCTCCATCACCTCAGGAGCCAGAGCAGGCTCAGCTGATGCCTGTACCCTTCAGGCTCATGCCCCAGCCCCGGCTCAGCTGGTTCTGGAGGCGGGGAATCCTGTGCAGGCTGGGATCCCTGAGGTTCAACATCTGAGTCCGAATCCCAGGCCATCACAAGAGATGTCTTGTCTTTCTTCTTTCTTATGCAAAGCAGAGAGACATTCTACCTAACATGCAAGGGGTGGGGGAAATCCTCTAGAACTACACAACCAATCAGATAATGAATTACCTCAGGAAAGATCATGCTTCTCTGATTGCTAAGCAACACCTCCACCCACCCCAAGCTAGACTGAATTAATCCTTATGTTACAAATGGCTGTTGAACTTCCAGCACTGCTTTGTATTTTTAATAGAATGTCAAGGTCCACATGCCAGAGCCAGGTGTAAAACAGGAGCTCGGGGGTGTGGACATACATAAGATTTAGGAACAGGGTTCTTCTCAACACATGCTCAATCCAGGAATTTGATTTTTATTTCAAGCACTGGAACCGAGGTGACGGCCTGCCCCTTCTTATTAAAAACCTCCACTAGTGATTCCTTGCTATAGTCTTAGCAGCATAATTTAGAAGCAGCCAGGAGTCAGGAACCTTTGCTGATCTAAATCACCAAGACATCTACCACTAGATCCTGATCCACTTTCTGCTCCCCCTAGTTTATAGGATGAGGCCTTTTGTTTCTTGGCATTACTATGCCTACAGCTTTATTCATGTCTGGAAGCTTTTGAAAAGAACTTTCTGTAATAAAGTACCTCTTATCCTTTCTGTAACTGAAATGTCTCATTCCTTTTTTATGTATGATCATTCTGGACTTAATTTATAAGGTGTCATGTATTACTCACTTATAGTTCTTGGCTCTGATTAAAGGTTCTATATCATCTTTCACACTTCAGAATTTTTTTGGTATAAATTGCCATAAAATAATATTTAAATCGCTCACTTGATCTAGTGTATTTGACATTCAATTGCCTTTTTTTCCTTTTACATAATAATTGTACTTAGCATTAGTATTTCATGCATAAAATCATTTATTGGAAACTTGCAATTGGAAAAAATAGATTAGATGATGATATAAATTTATTGGTAGAAACGAATAAAAATAGAAAAGCACCCTATATAACCCCCCATTTCTGCCCTCCAATCACGCAAAATGTTCCTTTGGTATTGGGGATTTCAGATATTTTATTGGAAGACGGTACGTGATGGTATAAGCTGTAGCCTGCACTGTGAGAGGGAGGCAAACTAGCCAGCCCAGCCCTTCCTTTTTCTTAACTTCATCACTGCCAGCATGTGCCCCCTGCCAGCATTTTCTGGATGCCTCTACTATGTGAAGTGAATAACAAGGTCTCAGACTGGTGTGGCAACAGTGGCACTGCCACCGCCGAAGAGTGCTGCCCACTCTTGACAGATTCTTCAGTTATTCCAAGGAAATCAGAAGCAGCTGGTCGGGCACCCCCATGGAGCTGGCGTCCTGGCAGCGGCATCGCTGTGCAGCAGTGGGGCAAGCTGGCGGTGCAGTGGAGGCAATGCAGATTTGGCATTCCTGCCAGTGCTTCCGGGCTACTCCAACCTCACTGCTGTCCTGCAGCACCCCTGCGCTGTGCTGGCAAGTGGCAGTGGCAAAGTGCCCCTGCCCTGCCCCTTGGTCCTGAAGCAAGTGGGGAAAGACCTGTCCTCTCAGAATTAAAACATGATTTCTGCAGAGGCATTCTGGCTGAGGAGCAACAGCATCACTTATGTTTTCTGGTTAGAATGCAGCACTACAGATCTCTCTCTCTCTCCCCTCCCAGGTTTGGCTGAAAACTTTAAAGACTGCAGACAGGAGTCTGAGAGGTCTCTGGTTGCCGATTGCTGTCAGGTTTATAGATGCATTCCTGTAGAACGCCTAAGCAAGTCGTTTCTGTTCTCTGCAGGATGCCACTTCTAGCTGTAAAACCCCACTATTTTAAAGTGATGGCAGAGACCCTGCTTAAACTGACAAAGGCCTTGGAATTCTGATAAAAGTTGGAATCCTTGCTTTTTTTACTCACACCCACACGGCCTTCTCCCCATGTGCTCTCTGGAAAAAACAAAAAACAGATGCTTACATAAGGTACTGCAGCATTAACTCTCCTATACCCAAAACTATAAGAGTTTATCTTGCTGTTGCAGAGGTCAGATACGATTATGTCGAATCCTTTCCAGAGAAGTACACATTCTTTTAAAATGTCTTCATTTCCCAAGGGGTGCAAAAGAGGGAGGAACTACCTTGGAGCTCTAGGGACGTAGGAAGCCACCTTATCCCGAAAAGAGATGGGGAAGAAATTCAATTTTGTTTGCACTTAATGATAAGCTCTACCTGATTCACATTTCTCAAATGTAGGTGAGCTGTAACAAAGCTATACTTCAACATTTGCACTTCTCTAAATCTCGTGATGCAGTTCTCCAACCAATGGGCAAGAAGATGCATATATTAGGGGGAAATGTACATAAAAATGCATATATTAATAAAAATAATGTTTGCATTAGGGAAAGTTGCTTTCAAAAACTTGTATATTAGTCAAAATTTCATATAAAAATGTGTTTTTAGGAAGGAATTTCCACTCAAATTGCTCACAGCGGAGGCCCTGCAGAGACTGTGGTGTCTTTATGATATATGGTTTATTTACATCTATCTACAACCTGAGCCTACGATGGAGAAGTTTACAGCATTAAGAGGTCTTGCCTCTCCCATAGGTGCATAATGGTTTCAAACAACTATCAGTATCAAGCTCTGCTTTGCTTCTGCTGGTCACAACTCCTACTCTAAACGTCTGCTTCACATCACTTCTTCACCCTACTTCTCTAATCTTAGGCTTTGTCTTTAGCTGAAAGGGCCCCCACCCTTTGCCATCTCACACAGTTTCCTTTGATGCTTTGTGTTCTTCTTAATGGCCCATCCCCAGGCTATCACCTCACACAGGAGATCAGCCTAGCTGAATTAGCCCTTAACACATGCTGATCCCAGAGGATTAGCATTGTATAGCACACAGCTCAATATACATGGGTCTGGCCTAATGCACACGAGTCTAATATACACGGGTCTAGCTATTCCCCAGTTTTAACACACCAAGCATAGATTCAACTCTGATACGATCATAGTGGTCTAGTATCCACAGACTCATAACAATACAGTGAACCTCAATAGGCAGGGAGTTCGTAGAGTGCATGGGGCAATATAATTTATATGAAGCCCTACAGCACACCTAAATGTGAAAACTAACGCTGTAGGTTTGAAGAAAAAGAAAGAAAGAAAGAAAGAAAGAAAGAAAGAAAGAAAGAAAGAAAGACGTGACAGAGATAATGTATTATTTTGTTAGATTGTCTGTCCATTGTAATGCCTTTAATGAAAACTACACATTAAAAAGAATGCATGAGGGAGTGCAGCTGAAATCTCATTTCCCATCGATGTGATTTCATATTAGGAGAATGATCTAAGTCACTGGACCTTCCAAGAAAGAGAGGAATCAACAGACAGTGACATTCTCTTTGCTAAGTGGTAACTGTCTTTTCCACTGAAAATCAGAGCCATATTTTAGAGGAGACAGAGTGAAATCCCTGCCGTGAATGTGGGAGATTAAATGGAAATAGTTTAGAGGCAAAAATGGACTTGTGGCACATTGCTATACTTGCTCTGTGTTTATCTACGCACCCCAGAGGCTCCTCAAGGCTGCAATATACTCACATTCCAGGTTTTACTGGGCGGGATTGTTGCTGCAAGTGCTTTGATTCCTTTTCATCATATCAGCTTGTCCTTTATCCTGTCCCACCAAACTCCTTTTATAAACTCACCACTAGGGCTTTTAGCCCCAAGTTCTTATTTCTGTTTCCCCAAACTGTTTGCTCTGTGAGTGGGATGGGATGTGTCTCTTGACAACTCCTCTCTGTCTCTCCTGCTTCCCTCAGCTTCCCTGTTTCTGGTTCCTTGTGGGGCTCACACCTCCCAATCGAGATTTCTGCTTTATCTCCGCATGCTGATAGGAGAGGCTGCATCCTCCTCTCACACGTATTTGAAAATCCACTTGTATTTTAGGGCTGTCAACTCTGTCAGGGAAAATAGTGGTAGAGATTGCATTTTAAGAAAAAGAGTATATCATCTGACTTAAAGGAAACAAAGAATGAAGGTCAATTTTGCTCCCATGGGTCCAAAGATACAGTTATTGAAACTAACATCAATGGTAAACCTGAGTGTCTGGGCCACTAAAATCTAAAAAGCCATTGTCTTGCAAAAATGTAGGGGATTCATACTGGGACAGCCTCTTCATCCAATTCGGAAGAGATGGAGCTTAATCTGCTTGTGCACATCCATGTGCCATGCTCCATGTGGTTCCCAATAAATGTTTTTGCTTCACTCCTGCAGAAATATTCCTGGTGGGAGCTTCTAGGATAATCAGGTTAAGGTTCCCAAACAATGCATTCATGACAAAAGATGTACTTTAAACATAAGCCAGATTTATACCTGACTTAATGGATTTGCCAGTTGAACTGCATCATAAAAGTACTGGGAATCAACAGTGTATCAGTCCCACAACAAATACAACGGGACTTACTTCTGAGTAAAAAAAGGTAAAAGGTAAAGGACCCCTGGACAGTTAAGTCCAGTCAAAGGTGACTATGGGGTTACGGCACTCATCTCGCTATCAGGCCGAGGGAGCCGGTGTTTGTCCACAGACAGCTTTTCAGGTCATGTGGCCAGCATGACTAAACCGCTACTGGCACATGGAGAACTGTGACGAGTGCCAGGGTGCATGGAAATGCCATTTACCTTCCTGCCACAGTGGTACCTATTATCTACTTGCACTGGCATGCTTTCAAACTGCTAGGTTGGCAGGAGCCGGGACAGAGCAACAGGAGCTCACCCCGTTGCGGGGATTCGAACCGCAGACCTTCTGATCAGCAAGCCCAAAAGGCTCAGTGGTTTAGACCACAGTGCCACCCACTGAGTAGACTTGTGTAAAATAGGGAATTCTAGTCTGAGGTAGCCATGGAAAAATTGAAGCTGGGGGGGGGGGGAGTTGTCTTTATTCTGGATAAATTAATCCAGAACACTTTTGTCTCTGGCTCTGCCCACCACTGGCTCTGGATCCAGTCATAGCTGGCCTGCAGCCCCTGACAAATTATCTCTGAGGAAATGCAGAGTCTGACAGACAAAAGATTGCCCACACATGCTTTAGAGCAGGCTTCCTCAACCTCAGCCCTCCAGATGTTTTTGGCCTGCAACTCCCATAATTCCTAGCTAGCAGGATGGTCTGGGATGATGGAAATTGTAGACTCAAAACATTTGGAGGGCCGAGATTGAGGAAGCCTGGGGGTTAACATGACTGCCAAAAATGTGAATCTATTTAAGGATAATTATGAAAAATGTTGGATAGAAGTGAAAAAGGATTTAGAAATATGGTCAAATTTGAAGTTATCACTGTTAGGCCGAATTGCTGTGATAAAAATGAATGTGCTGCCAATGATGTTGTTTTTGTTTCAAACATTACAAATTTTGGACAAGATGGATTGTTTCAAGAAGTGGCAGAAAGATATTTCCAGATTTGTTTGGCAGGGCAAGAAGCCTCGAATAAAATTTAAGATATTAACTGATGCTAAAGAAAGAGGTGGATTTGCCCTGCCAGACCTCAAACTTTATTATGAATCAGCAGTTTTTTGCTGGCTGAGAGAATGGCTGCTTCTTGAAAACACTGACGTGTTGGATTTAGAAGGTTTCAATAATGTATTTGGTTGGCATGCATATTTGTGGTACGATAAGGTAAAAGCACATAAAGCGTTCAAAAATCATATTGTTAGAAAAGCACTGTTTAATGTTTGGATAAGATATAAAGATTTGTTAGAAAGGAAAACCCCAAGATGGTTGTCCCCAATGGAAGCGAAGGCACAGAAAAAACTCAATATGGAGGCCAAATGGCCGAAATATTGGGAAATTCTGGATCAAGATGGAGACAGAATAAAATTGCAGAGCTTTGAAAAATTGAAAAATAAAGTGCAAGACTGGCTCCATTATTATCAAATAATGGAGGCATACAATTTGGACAAAAAAGTTGGTTTCCAGGTGGAAAAATCAAAATTGGAAACAGAATTGTTAGATTCCAAAATTAAGAATTTGTCAAAAATGTATAACTTGCTGTTGAAATGGAATACTCAGGATGAAACGGTGAAATCAGCAATGATTAAATGGGCACAAGATGTTGGACATAACATAATGATGGCTGACTGGGAACAGTTATGGACCACAGGTATGAAATTTACGGCATGTAATGCCTTAAGAGAAAATTTAATGAAAATAATTTATAGGTGGTACATGACACCAGTCAAGCTTGCAAAAATCTACCATCTGCCCGATAATAAATGTTGGAAATGCAACCAGACTGAAGGTACATTCTTTTACCTTTGGTGGACATGCCCAAGGATTAAGACATTCTGGGAGATGATTTATAATGAAATGAAAAAGGTATTCAAATATACCTTCCTGAAGAAACCAGAGGCCTTTCTCCTGGGCATGGTCGGCCAATTGGTGTCAAAGAAGGATAGAACTTTCTTTATGTATGCAACAACAGCAGCAAGCATACTCATCGCAAAATATTG